ATTCAGTCAATTCAGTCAATTCAGTCAATTCAGTCAATTCAGTCAATTCAGTCAATTCAGTCAATTCAGTCAATTCAGTCAATTCAGTCAATTCACCACCAGGGCTATCAAGGGCTACCTGGGATAAGCTAAGTCACGTGAATATCACGTGATATACTAAAGTATATTCAATGTGGATAGATGCTGGCTTCGAAAAGTATGAAGCCGGTTTGATACCATTCAATGCCGTTCAATGCCACCGGGTATCATACTTTTACCACCCCTAGTTCTGAGAACCTTGCTGGCTCCCCCGCAGACCCATCGAAGCTCTCCACCATACCGATGGCCGAGGAAGAGAGCCTCCTGACTGCCAAGCTGTGACTCGCCGCAAGGAGACCAAAACATCAAGACGGGCAAAGCAACAACGAGACAGAATACGGCCAGCCAAGAGCTCTAGAATCCAATTGACTGTCCAGTGGCCAGTCAACGGTGTGCCACATTGCCGCCAGGCAAGAGGTCCATGGTCTGGCTTGAACCCTCTACAGACACCGAGCCATCTCCGAGCGCATCCGGCGCGGGGCCGAATGTTGCTTGATTACCCTCGGGAGACCATCCCTTTACGGGACAATTTTGACGCGGTTCTATACAATGGCAATGTGGTCACGGCACAGCTCTACGTATTGCTGCTAGACAAGCGCAGAGGCGCGGCTAGCCCTTCGTACGAGTCTGAGGCAAGTTTCTATAGAGTGATCTGCGGGAGCGGAGAAAGTTACCGCGTTCGTATTACGCGAATCATTCAAGCAGCATCATGGAGTGGACTGGGGATCCTGCATCGTCCACACGGCTTGACGGCAGGCGAGTAACGTGAGTATGTAGCACCGTCAGCTAGCTTTGCCATCGCGATTAACCGATACTACCGTGCCTACTTGCCCGCTTGCCCCTCAACTTCTGGATCAGCCTGGGATCCCGAAGTGTCGTGTACAACTGTGGGTAAGGCGAACTGAGTGTTCGATGCTTTCGATCGTGGCCAGGTCAAGCCATAAAACCATAGAGCTCCCCCGAAAACAAACGCAACCTCTCCCCTCTATTCTTTCATCATCCTTTCCTCATATATCAACATATTTAGAGGAGATCTTTAGTATCATTGGTCCTGCGTCGTCCATTACATTTGCCCTTGACTTAACAAACCATCAGCTCGAATCCAATCTCCAAAATGGTATTTCTCACTCGCTCTTTACCCCGCGGCGCGCGTCCTTTTGCTTCTCGATTGTTTTCCACTGCACCAGCAGCTCGTTCTTTCGCACCCGTTCGTGCCTCTACGTCCTTACGTGGTGGCGTAGCGGCACGCACGACTCTAGCACCCGGCCACGGCACCTCCACCTTTCTCAGCTCTCGAGCTCCTTCTTCCATCCGTTTACTGACGACTCAACGTGAAAAGGTCAAAGTTCTACTTGTCCTGTACGATGGCGGACAGCACGCCAAGGATGTACGTATTTCCCCCCTCCACGTCTCTTATTTTCATTTCCCCTTTCTGGAGGACATACATCACCACAAAAAGGGGGGACTGGAGACCATGATAAGTCCACTTCCCCGCAGTCTCCCGGTCGCTGTCCGAACATCCATCCAATGGAGAGACTTCGCGGTTGTATCTGTATGCAAATCGATGCAAGTGTCTCCAAGGGAAAAGCGGCAGATCAGGATGAGTGTGACCGAATGTGGGGTAATAACGGGAACTTGGCACACCTCCGCTGATAGTTGTCATACTTACGGCCATCACATCAACTAACAAGGTCGTCTTCTTAGGTCCCTGAGCTCTTAGGAACAACTGAGAACGAGCTTGGCATCCGCAAGTGGCTCGAGGACCAGGGACACACTCTCGTGACAACCTCCGACAAGGAGGGCGAGAACTCGACTTTCGATAAGGAGCTAGTAGATGCTGAGATTATCATCACAACGCCGTGAGTAATCCCTCGGCCGTCAAATACCGGTACCAAATCTTATGCCACCACATTCTGACAGTACAGCAGATTCCACCCCGGCTACCTCACGGCAGAGCGTCTGGCCAAGGCCAAGAACCTCAAGCTTGCTGTCACAGCTGGTATTGGTTCCGACCATGTCGACTTGGACGTTGCAAACAAGACGAATGGCGGAGTCACAGTTGCTGAGGTGACCGGCTCCAACGTCGTATCCGTTGCTGAGCACGTCGTCATGACTATTCTCGTCCTGGTCCGTAACTTCGTCCCCGCACACGAGCAGATTCAGGCCGGCGAATGGGACGTTGCTGGCGCCGCCAAGAACGAGTACGATCTTGAGGGCAAGGTTGTCGGTACCGTCGCCGTCGGCCGCATTGGTGAGCGTGTCCTCCGCCGCCTCAAGGCCTTCGACTGCAAGGAGCTGTTGTACTTTGACTACCAGCCCCTGAAGCCCGAGATCGAGGCCGAGATTGGCTGCCGTCGTGTCGATACCCTCGAGGAGATGTTGTCTCAGTGCGACGTTGTTACCATCAACTGCCCTCTGCACGAGAAGACTCGCGGCCTGTTCAACAAGGACCTCATCGCCAAGATGAAGCCTGGTAAGTTCCTACGTACCCCTTGTTCTCATGCACCCAAAATTACGCCGTACTAAGTATCGCAGGTTCTTGGCTCGTCAACACTGCTCGTGGCGCCATCGTCGTCAAGGAGGATGTTGCCGAGGCCCTGAAGTCCGGCCACCTCCGTGGTTACGGTGGTGATGTCTGGTACCCCCAGCCCGCTCCCAAGGAGCATCCTCTGCGCTACGCCAAGAACCCCTTCGGTGGCGGCAACGCCATGGTTCCCCACATGTCCGGTACTTCGATCGACGCCCAGAAGCGCTACGCCGAGGGCACCAAGGCCATCCTCACCAGCTACCTCACCGGCAAGCATGACTACAGGCCGGAGGATCTCATCGTCAAGGATGGCGACTATGTCACCAAGGCCTACGGACAGAGGACGAATAAGGCTACTTAACGAATTTTTCTTTTATAGCGAAGGGTATATGGGTGCATTAGGGTACTGTTATGGTTATGATGTATATTTTTTAGGGATAAATTCCCAATTTTGATGATAGGTCTGCTACTTTGGAATTCGTAAGGCCTGAGAGATTCCCGATGTCACAATGAACAATGGTTAAAACAGTATAATCACGTCCACTTGTCTTACCTTGCCTACTTAATTAGGATGTTCAATGTGTCATGAGGCCATGATCTTTCTCATTACAGCTTTCAGTATCGGTAACATCCGACCATGCCGGTTTGCCTCCGCCTCATATCCCCAGTCGCAAACAAACCATTGCATGTCTAACGTCAGCCTCAAGATGTCGTGGAACGAATCGCTACCAGCAAACATCCACCATGGGCCTAGATGAGAGAGCCAACGATTTGCCGCATGTTGCCGTTGCTGCGATCCGACTGGTGGTTAGTGAGGGGCTTCTCGCTCGGCGGGCGCCTTCTGACGTCGTGGGGTCACCGGTCTTGGGTGACACAACTATGACCTAAGACCTTCATCAGGACGACCGGACTAGCATGTCTAGCACCCTCGTCATCTGCAACTCGGTATCCTCGCGGAAAAGCGGATTGGCTCGTCGTCTCGTGTGGACCAGGATGGAGCTCTGGGTTTAGACGTCTTTGCCGGTCGCGCCGGCCTGGCCCTGTAGGGTTCATTCGTTGTCATTGGACTTGGAAGGTCAGGCAGGCTGACGGTGAGACATCAGATCGGATCGGGACATGCGAGGAGGATGGGAGGGTTGATCGGATTGAGGTGATGGGGAGGACTGGTCCTCTGTATAAATACTACTCGATCGCGAGGACCTTGCTGGCCGTTTTTCCCTACCCTCTTGCCTCTTTTGATCACATCATAAGCTACCAATCACATATCAAGCATACTCTGACATCAGATCATCATCGTGAGTATAGTTCAACCGCACATTGTTGGCGCTTCCATGCGAAGTCATTTAGTTGAGTGCTAGTTTGCATTTAAGCTGTTGAGCTGCATGCTGAGATTCTACAGAACCAGATTCATTTGCCCTAAAACATGGCCTGCAACTGTAACAGCGCTGGCGCCTGCGCCTGCCAATCCGCTGGCACCTGCAAGTGTGAGTCCAACTGCGGATGCTCCAACTGCCCTGTAAGTTCAATCGAATCGATCGCAATTCAGCACTTTTGATTTGGCACTTGACCTAATAACGAGGCAGAAGAAATAAAGAAATGAAGGGGAATTGTGCGATGGGGGATCGTTGAGATTTGTTGAGGTTCCTATCTTATGAGACGACTCTCTGACAATTGGCTGGGCGGCGGGGTTGACGCCCAGTTGCAGATAGAGGTGCATCAGCAGATAGGTTGTCTTACACAAATTTACGAACGGTCTTTACGAATGATTATATGTGATTTACAGTTTTAAATAATTAGTGCTGCGTTTGGGATGAAATGTGTGATTATGTATGGACTCAGTCTTTCTTCAGGAGCTAAAGCGATGGGGTTGAATGTGGCTGTCAGCTATATAAGCGCACATATGCCATTTGCTAAACCCATATAACACGGCAGCCCTGCTGGCGCAATGGTTTAGCGCGCAAGACTTCTAGTGCCTTACAGACTACGATATCTTGAGGTTGCGGGTTCGAGTCCCGCGTGGGGTTTCCTTTTGCTTCTGAACATTATTCCTTTTGCTTTTGAATATTTGTTGGCTGAGGTTCACAAGCCCAGACTTATCTTTCTTATTGAGGCGCATTTATTGAGTGAGTTTACTGCTCAGTGGCATCTAAGCATAGATTTTGCAAACTACATCAACTGTCCGATTGGGCGAGTAATGGTCAGCTAACTTGAAGCTGGACTAACGTCATACAGGAGCCAATGGCAACACTTCACAATCGATCCGAGCTGAAGGTATAACCCATGCCAGGATCATGTTGGGATGGCTTGCAGTCTTCACCTTTCATGGAAGCTTGAGATTATTTTTGAACTCGCGTTCCTGACGTGACAGCGCATCTCCAATACCTCGTGGTAGCCCGCCGACCACGCCGATGCCCGCCCCGATGTGCCAATGCATTCCAGTCGAATTCAGCCAGTCGGAAAAACATCCTGGCTGAATCCAAAGTCCTTTGCATCCGACACTGATTGATTTTGGTGGTTATCATCCTGTTCATACATAAGCAGAGCCGTGCCTAGGCGCGCTTTCGCGTCGAGTGTTCTGCCTGAGGCTTCCAATCTTCATTCCCTGTCGAGCATTGTCCGACCCGTTCTTGCCGACGTTTCGTGTGACAAGACCCGCGGCAAGATACAATGCAGAAATTACAAGCTCTTCAAAGACCTGGAGTCCGATCTTCAAGCCAAGACTGCCGGTGACGGGGTTCAACGACTTCGAATTGGTGAAGAAATAGACGAGACTGGTCAGAAGTCGAATACCCAGGAACGGCATGGCGACTGCCATAGCGAAGATGAGAACCTTGCCCCCAGAGAGATCGACCGAAGTGAAACCACCGCGGAATGCAATGGCGGCGGTGAATGTGCTCAGAACAGCGGTGGCGAGCCATGCAAGGAGGAGCAAGACCTCGCCGACTTTGACGAGCTTTTCGTTCTTTGCCATCTCGGAGGCTTTGTCAGGGTTCGCGAGGCTCGAAGCGCCGACAGCGACTAGGGCGATGGCAACCGCGACCACTTGATGCGAGAGGACAACTCCGATGAGTTCGAGCTTTCGATTTCTGTCTGCGAAGAGATAGGCACGGCTGGAGTACGAAACCAAGTCAGCAACTGAACTAAATACAGGAACAAGACCAAAGGGATCTATCTCACGCTTCATGAATGATACCAATGCTTGATAGTATCAAAGGAGACAGGCCAATGTTGGCGAGAAGTGCAGCTGTCGTCGAGGTTGGGTCGCTGAGCTGGAGACCGCTGGAGATGATGCGAAGGAGGAAGAAGGCCAGCAGGTAGAACCATCCCAGTACTGCGCCATGACGAAGGCCGTGCTTGAAGAGCACGAAGATGGCTGGGATGGAAAATAGGACGTAGATGACTACTAGGGCGATGTCAAGACTTTTGGTTGGCGACATGGTGCTTGAGAGACGAGTTGTTGGTTGACTGATCAGTGATGACAGAGAGCGAGATGGTCAATACACGGTCGAAGGACTGATGAAGACTTGGGAAGGTACCACAAGACGGGACTACCTAAACTGCAAGTGGACTTGGTACAACGATGCATGGCGTATCAAAATTGAACTCCATGGGAAAGAGCCAAGAGCTGTTCTCTTATACAACTACCTACAGTCTGTAGGCCACCTCCTATCACATTCTGATTCACAACAACGGTGATGCAACGACCGTCGGTAACGAGGAGCACTGCCTTCTTCGAAGCGCCATACAAATCTCCTTGTGGAGATACAACAGAGCATCAACCAGTCGTAATTTCACTTCACTGCTACCTGGCTTGCTTTCCTACCATATTTCATGGTTGTCAACAAAGCAAAGCTGCGCATTCAGTGCGCATCAGGCATCAACTTCGATTATCAGGCAACTATATTTCACAGTTGCCTAGCGCTCCCCACTGGGTTCGTAGGGCTGACGGCTTCTTCCAGCGAATGCACTGTGGCGGAGCAAACAGATGATGTCGCAAACGGCAAAAGTTGATGCCTGATGCGCAGTGTTGATGCCTTTTCCGCAACCGATCAACACTTCAACAGCCTGTGCATACGGAATATACAATAGCACTACAGCTTGTGGTGAAACGACGCAATCGGCATAGATATATTTCCAACTCCTGTTATATCAGCTACAACCGAATATACTTTCCAATAACTCAATGTTTCCATAGAGCTACCTCGGTCAACCTATTCCAACTTCATGATTTCACCTTCACTCAAACCGCGACTAGACGGAGGGAGTTATTAGCTCCAGACACCAACGATCTCAAGCGCAATTGTTCTCTCGCAATTTTGCTAGCTTGCAACTGAAGAGGGGCTTCAATTGGAATCTCCATTGTGCGCCAATGCTTGCAACGAAATCCAAGCTCTCCGATCACCAGAAGCGGAAGATGCTGGACTTGAGCGGACCGAAGCAAGGGACTTCCGTAGAGGAATTTTATGCCTTACCTCCCGAGCCCGGTAACAATCCAGTTTAGCGTCGTCGTCAGGACGGATAGCCTAATTCCAGATGACCAACACCACAGTAGTTTTGAGTCGATCATGAAAATGCATTTGAGACTACACTCGCGTCTTTACGACTGAAAATCTCTACGTGGTGAAAATTGTTCTTTTCATCTCAATGAACGTTGATCACGCATCACACACACTCACTCACTTGACATTACCCCAACAGCTGGTTACCATCACCGAAAACTTCAGCCAAGACACCCCAACACACCGATAATCCACACAGCATGCCGACGACGGAATTCCCACTTGTGTCATATCAACCCTTTCGATTCCTATTCCAACTCACATACATCAGCACAATCATCTTGCGATTACCATACTACATCATCCGCTCACTAATCCCATCCTTAAGACCAAACGCATCATGGACCTTCAAGCAGACTTTCATGACCCGTCTCCTCTACCCATACCTGGACATACTCTCGCGCATCTCAGTGACAGAAACGCTATCTCTGGAGCCGGGGAAGGAAGGCGCGCGATGGCAGATCGTGAAGCCCTCTACGTTAGATGTTTATAAAGGCCCTCTCGTATCAACGATTACTAAACCCGCTACGGTCGGAGGGACGTGGTACCCGGCTGCTCCGGAGGGGGGCTTCTCATCCAAGAAGATCTTCCTTTACTACCACGGAGGCGCATTCATCGAAGGCGATGGCCGCACAGCGATGTACGGTCCCATCGCAAAGAGAATGCTTAAAAAGGGAGGCGCGGACGCTGTGTTCGCCGTTCAGTATAGACTTTCGGGACATGCTGGCCTGAACCCGTTCCCGGCTGCGCTCCAAGACGCCGTGTCTAGCTACCTGTACCTGTTGAACGACCTGAATATTCCGGCTGACCAAATCGTGATGATTGGCGACAGCGCAGGCGGCAATCTGATCCTCGCTTTACTGCGATATATCCACGATTTCGGCACTGAGACAGACATCCCGAACCCGAAATGTGCCGTGCTTCTCTCGCCCTGGGTTGCGCCCTTCCTCTACGAGATGGACGATAATCCGAACCGCGGCACCGATTTCATCCCGACTACGTATCCTACTTGGGGCGCAAACGCGTATGCGGGTAATTGGCCTAATGCCAGGTCGGACCCGTATATCACGCACTTGGGAAACCCATTCCCGTGTCCTGTCCCCATGTTTGTGAATGTCGGAACGGCGGAGATGATCTCGGACCATATTCTGGAGTGGGCGCAGGAGATGCTGGACGTGCGTGGGAATGAGCTTGAGCTTTACTATGAGGAGGGCGCTGTGCATGACACGCTGTTCATTGCTGAGATGATTGGGTTTGAGAAGACGGCTTGGGAGGTCGCTAAGAAGTTTGGGGAGTTTGTGGATAAGCTGTAAATTTTGTATATGTTGTGTTGTGAAGGTATAGCCATACATAGAGAACTAGATTACATGCGATATCTCGCGTACAGCTATGTGACACCAGGATTCCAGTTACCCAACGGCGCCTATCGGTCTAGGCTTTAGTGACCGCGATGACAATGTGCACGAGAGGCCGACGTTACTGAAGTCTGGGAGCCATGCCTTGTCCTGATTCTAGCATGATGATGTTTCTACTTAAATTTGACCCTCTTCATCTCTCACACAATAATCACGAGCATGGCCTAGTATCGTCACGATCGGGGCGTAAACTTCAGATACGGCCCATCATGGCTGGATGTGAAGACATCCCAGAGCCTAAATTCAGGTGCATGCACAGCTTTTGCGTCCGCGAATTCGAAGTCGAAGGACCACAGCGTACGAGCCATCGCCATGCTGACTTCGGCATACGCCAGTGCCTTGCCAGCACAGCCGCGGGCGCCAAGGGAGAACGGGATGAAAGCCGGATTGAGTATCAGGCCTCGGGGCTCAGAAGCTGAGGCTTCGGCATCATCATCTGCGTTGGGAGCAGATCCTGCCTCCGAAACGTCCGTCTTCGGTAACAGCCATCGCTCGGGATCATAAGTGAAAGGGTTAGGGAAGTATTGCGGATTATGGTGTAATGCATAGATATCCACGCCAACACTGGTACCCGGCGGGATGACATGGCCATCCACGGTTAGGGGCTGGTCACTATCAGATCCTAGTTGTTGACGCCACATTGTCCCCGGGACTGGGGGAGACATCCTCAGACTCTCGTTGATGCATGCCCTTAGGTAACGACACCCGGTCAAGCGTGACCCGCCGATTTCCGCAGCACTGGGGAACGATGACCGGATCTCAGCGGCCAACTTGTGGCGGCATTGCGGATTCCGCGCGAGGTAGTAGAAAAGGGCACTCAGGGTGGTTGAAGTCGTGTCTCCTGCTGCGGGAAGGAAGAAGATGCCTTCAGTCCAGATCTCACTGGCCGTGATTCTGTCTTCTTGCGGTGCGTCAAGAGCCTCGGCCATGAAAGCATACAAGTCGTGCTCTGCCTTCTTTTCTTTTGCCAGCCGAGACTGAATCATCATCGATAGTGTTTTCAAGAAGCTCTTTCCTTGTATGACGGCGAGGAGATAAAACAGAATTTCG